TTTCTTTCTTTCTTTCTTTCTTTCTTTCTTTCTTTCTTTCTTTCTTTCTTTCTTTCTTTCATCCGTGTGGGATGTTGGCAAACAGCTTGCTGTGGTGATCGAGGGGATTTAACAAATGAACAAACAAGGAGCCACTGATCACTTATTTATCTCAGCTGTTCCACATGATGTTTTATCAAATATGGATGATCACAGAGTAAATCAAATATTCATTTGTGCCAACGCACTTCTTAATTTCCATGAAAACCAAATGACATCGAGAAGTTAATCTTGGTAATGACGCTGCGCTTTTAATCTGAAGGAGCTCTGCTTTGACTGAAGATAAAAAAGATGAATAAAACTCACCTCCAGTGAGTAATCAGCCTGACATTGATCTTATATCAGTTTTATGTAGCTAAAACATGTTTTATGTGTTCAAAAACACCCTTGAGATAAAACGTAAAAGGAAATTTTGAAAATGAAAAGTTTTTTAGGCTTGTTGATATTGAGCTCAAGTGAGAAATTAAAAACTGATAAAAACTCTTTGATTTAATTAATAAACCTATTGAAGCAACACTTATCACAGATTAAAGTTCACTCACTTTTGCTCAATTAAATGTTCACAAATTATATTAAGGAGTTTTGCAAAAAAAATGCCATCAGATATTAAATGCATGCACCTAATAAAATCATTCAAAATGTGGATTACACAGTTATAAGCTTTGTATATTTTATATTATTTTAATTAACAGTGAAATCTATAAAACTAGTATTGCTCACCAAAAATTTAAGGTCTCAACTGTGCTTGGAGTAGGTAATGTGGATGACGCTCAGCTACTACCACACCAAATTGCAGCTCCGTATTTATAAATATGACTGAGTTATAGCCATTTTTGCATTTTCCAAGTTTTATTTGCTTTAAAGACCATCTTGAATCACAAATAACCCTAGTTAATCAGCTGTAGTGGTTATATTCAGGAAGTTTAGGTAAAATCTGTCCAGTGGTTTATCATATATTTTGCTAACAGACAGACAGACATGAACACGAGAAGACACATTATTGCCCATTTTTCATGTGGTTAAAAAGGGAAATGAAAACAAATAGGAATAAAAACATTTTTAGTGACAATTAGAAATTAATATCCATGGCTAGAAGCTACACCAAGCGGCAGCACACTGACTCCAGCTTCTCCACTGAAAAGCGGGGTCCAATTTCAGTGGAACACGCTGAGATATAGCGCCCTGCTTAGCTTAGCTAGGTGGCTAACTGGCTTAGCTAGTTTGCCGCCGTGATCTCTGGCGGGAAACTCCGCTAGCCTGGGCCTCCGTCCCTGGAGGAAGATAGCTCAGACCATGCCGAAGATGAGAAGCGCATCATCTGAAAAGTCTAGAAAAGCTTCCAGTCCAGTCCTGGGTGGAAGCGTCGACGTCTGAAGGCCTTAACTACTAGCTACCACATCCGTGTAACGAGCGAGCTAGTAGCGGCTAACACATCCGTGAGAGTAGCAGACTAGCAACGGCCTTCGAATGGTCTGGTCAAGTTAATTAGCGCCTCCAAGGCTTGAAGCTACCCCAAGCAGTAGCACAACCGACCCCAGCTTCTCCCCTGAGAAGCGGGGACAGGGGTCCTTCCAAAAGTCAGGGGTAATTCACTTGTATCCCGTCAGTGAAAGCAGGGACTTCTCCAAGTTCAACGCAAGGGGTAGCGCCCAACTTAGCTGGCTAGGAAATAGGTAGCTACCTGGCTTAGCCAGTTTACCGCCGTGTCCATGGCGGGAAAAAACGTGGCTAGCTCGGTCCACCCTCCACAGAGAGAGATAGCTCAGACCATATCGAAGAATAACAACCCGCATGGACCGATACTCCTTGAGTCCATGTGGAAGCACAAAGATGTCCGGCGCCTTAGCTTAGCATAATACCGCACCACGGGAACGCTCACGGGAAAATATATGCTAGCTAACCATGATCAACCTTTTCCGAGGAAGGGTCGTGGCGGGGAAAACCGAACCCCGAGCAGCCTGGAAAGGACGGCTACACGGATCATAGCTCGGTGGCTCCGGACACGAATTCCATGTCGATATAAAAGGAATCATAGGCGCTTATATGTATGTGGCGTCTTCTATGGTTACATGTCGAATGCCGAAGCTGAAGAAAAATGAGGGAGACATACATCGGTCCAACCGGCTTTTATAGGACCGAGGTGGGGCCCCACAGGAAGGGGGCGTGGATTATTGGTTTTTCAGAATGCATGCGGGGGCGGAGGGATACCCATTAGCAATAGCCTTAGAGGGCGGAGCTTACACGAAATAGAACAACAGTCAACAGGTTTTTTTCTTCTTCGTATGTCTTCAGCCTCTGGCTACACTGTTGGCGTATCATATTCTTCTTTGTGGCCATGTTCAGCCAAGTTCTGTTGTAGAACAGGGCCCCCTCTGATCACAACATATGATGGTCGCAAAAGATGGTGTAACACGGGATTTTTCTTGAGGAATAAAGGAGAATGGAGTTTTTAAGCGGATAATAAAAGGTTTCGGTGAGTAAAATATATGCTTTTTAAATGTTTTATTTAGTTAGCAGCTTATTATATAAGTAACTGTATAGATGCTGTTGTTAATGTATGGCACAGCTATGGCTGCAGTTGAGAAAACTTATTAAATGCGTCGCTTCAGTGATGACTTTCATTCTGGCTTCGTGAGATACCTGTCTGTGGGGAT